TGGGGGTGCATGGTCCAATACCGCCCGTTGACATCAACCATCGGCAAATTCGCCAACCGCGCACGATGGGACATTCACCTCGGCATCAGCCACGAGCACAAGGCGTGGATCGTGCTGGACCTGCTCAGTCAGAAGACCACCCACGCTCGCGACGTGATCTTCTACGAGCGCCTCATCCTCGACCAGTTCCGCCACGACGAGCAAATGAATTCGAACCACATTTACGCAAACAACAGGCACAGCTATGCAATCCTGGAGCAGGACACCAGGGGCGAATTCACATGGAGGAGAGATCGTAGCAGCGACGACGACGATGACGATAATTCCCCTAGAGGAGGAATGGGCGGAACAGGCGGAAGTGGCTGTGGCGCATCACCACCTGAACCACCTGAACCAGAGAGCGATGACGACGATGTGCAGGAAGTCATCCCGCAACATCGTCACGACAGCTCCGTCTCAGGATTACAGCTGGCTCCACACCGCAACCTTGAAGGCGCCACGCGTGATCGAGCCACAAAACCCACGTCAAGCTTTCACTGGACCTTACAGCAAAGAATGGCGAGAGGCGATGGACGCAGAAATCAAGCGCTCGAATCCCGAGACACCTGTATCAAGAATAGTAGTTGAGGCCTAGGGTTTGACCTAGGCGAGAGTGACGAGAGAAAAGTGCAAGCCAAAAAGAGGAGGTTCACTATAGAGCGAGAAGTACAAATAGGCAAGAATGAAGAAAGGTGCACCACCAAACAGAAAGTTATATGACTACAGTATTCTACACTATAAGCAGTTACAAAACAATATATAGAGTTATATATTTTTCTGACATGCCCCCATAAGTGCCTGTAGGGAAGAATGTGTAGTCAACGCCCCCATAATGGGGTACACCAGACAGGCCGCAGCGGAAATCACAGCAACAGGCAAGTGCAGTGGCAACCGGTGCAGTGATGGCAGATCCAACTGTACCAACCCCTTGACCAAGGTAGAAACAGTAGCAGGTGTTGGGGCGGCAGGTCGCCTGAGGAGCAGGCTCTGTGGCTGCAACATGCAGCAGGACAGCAGCGGCTCGACGGCAGCACCTGCAGGCCCCAGCAGCAGGTAGCAAAAGCAAAGGTAGGAGGTAGCAGGGGCGGCAGCTGGAGGTGCTACGGCAGCAACGGGCGACAGCAGCAAATACCCGGCTGTCTTCCGCCACCCTCTCTCACCCTCCCCCCCACAGCAGCACGAGCGGCAGTGAGAGAGAAAGGAGGGGCGGCTGCTGGCATTGCAGAATCTCTCTCGCCACCCTCTCACACTCCCCCTCCCCCCACGGGTGCAGTGAGAGGGAGGAAAAGGTGAACAGCGACGGCAGGTGCAGTGTCACCCACGCGCCAACCCCACTCCCTTCCCCCCGCCTTTCACTGGCGCACGAGCAGCAGGTGCGGGGTAGGGGAGCGGCCATACGCGGCTGCGCGCGGCTGTGCGCAGCTGCAATCGGCTGTACGCAGCTGCGCGCGGCTGTGCGTGGCTGTGGGAGCTCGTGACGGGACGAGGGGCGGGGCAGCTCGGGACAAGGCGGGTAGCGCGGGGCGGGTGACAGGGCGACAGAGCAATAGGGCAGAACGAGCCGCCCAACTCGTCGCCACGATAGTAGGCAGCTTGCCGTCGCGCCCATCACGTCAGTCGCAACTAAGGGCGCGACGGGAGCCACGAAACAAGGAATACGCGGTGGGCCCATGGCGTAGTTAAAAAATAAGGCAGGCCAGGATGTGACGTGCTCTGTACCATATCAAGAATAGTAGTTGAGGCCTAGGGTTTGACCTAGGCGAGAGTGACGAGAGAAAAGTGCAAGCCAAAAAGAGGAGGTTCACTATAGAGCGAGAAGTACAAATAGGCAAGAATGAAGAAAGGTGCACCACCAAACAGAAAGTTATATGACTACAGTATTCTACACTATAGGCAGTTACAAAACAATATATAGAGTTATATATTTTTCTGACAACCTGGGTGTTAGTCGACCGTGCGGCAATCGAAGGCGCAAGAGTCCTCTCAGGCAAATGGGTCTTCCGAGTGAAGACCGCAGCGGACGGAACAATCAAGCGCTTCAAGGCGCGTTGGGTGGTACGGGGATATGACCAGAGGCACGGCATCGACTTCGACCACACGTTTACCCCAGTCAGCCGCCACACCTCCATCCGAATCCTGCTCGCCATCGGAGCTGCAAGGCATCTACCTCTCCGCCAGATTGACGTCAAGAATGCGTTCCTGTATGCATAAGTAGACGCCGTGATTTGCGTGGAGCAGCCGCAGACATACGGCGAAGGGGATTCGCGCGTATGCCAGCTGCGCAAGTCCCTGTACGGGATAAAGCAGGCACCAAGGCTTTGGCAGCAGTATCTGCACAACATCCTGCTTGAAATCGGGCTCAAGCAGATGCTGCACGACCTAGGAATGTACCGCCTTGATTTCCGCGGCGAATACATTCTCCTCACGGTCTACGTCGATGACCTGCTTTACACAGGCTCAAACAACGAGTTACTCGAGCAGTTCGAGAAAAGCCTGGCGAAGCGCGTCGACATCACGTGTAACCACGAGGTGAAGCAGTTCTTAGGCCTCTGCATCTCCTACACACCTGAGGCCATTCACCTCTCAGTGGCTAAGTACGCAGAGGAGTTGGGGAAACGGTTCAACATCTCGCCTGCATCGCTCTCAACTCCCTATCAAACTCCGGGACCGAACCACAAACCTGACAACAAAGCCCTATCCCCTGCTGGAGTTCACACTTACCAACAGCAGCTGGGATGTCTGCTCTTTACCTCTGTCACATGCAGGCCTGACCTTTCCTACATCGCAAGTCAGCTGGCCCAGTACTCACGCAATCCAACGGCTGAAAATCTTCTGGACCTGCAGCGCGCCCTACAGTTCTTCGTTTCAACGCCTAAGATTGGGTTGTGCTACTCGACTGCATCAACCCCAGCTTTCAACGTGATCGGCTACGTTGACGCCGATCACGCAGCAGATCCCGACAATCGACGGTCCAGGACTGGCTTCCTGTTCTAACTCGAACCGACGGGACCAATCTCCTGGAACTCACAGAAGCAGGAGCTAGTTGCCTTGTCATCAGCCGAAGCGAAATTCATCGCAGCAACCGCAGCAGTTCGCGAAGGCCTCTCCTACAGGAACTTCTGCAGGAAGCGAAAATTTCAGCCTCGCCCACCTTTTGCCTCCACTGCGACAACCAGAGCGTGATTCGCATTGCGAACAAACCTGGTTTTGTCAACCGCACCAAACATATTGTGCTGCGGTACTTCTTCGTAAAGGACGAAGTGGACAAGGGCAAGGTTGACTTGACCTATTGCCTGACCGGTGACATGGCAGCATATTTTCTCACCAAGCGACTGCCACGCCAGTAGTACCAACACTGCTCCAAACTCAGCGGCGTGGTCAAGCAGGTCAAGTCGAGCTACGGCCAGGATTGAAGGGGGGTATTACGAAAAGCAACAAATGAAGATTACAATGCACTCCCGACCGCAGCTAAAGAAGCATGCAGTATCGAGAACGAATGCAAAGAGTCAGATTTGACTCGAAACGTCGGAGGGTTGATGCATCCGGACCGTTGGAGCAACGACATCGGGCAACTCCATATAGGAGGATCTTGGCGGGAGTAGTTTTGCAACTGCACGCGCCGGGACGGTTGAATTCGAATAATGGAATGTACCCCTTAGAGTACATGGCTAGCTAGGACGATTCAGATTCCCTTGTACTCATATTTATATTGTTGTATTTGCATGTTTTTATCATCTCAAGCATTTTGCATTCACTCTGCTATTGAGGTCACGAGCCCACCACTACTAGACAAAAGTGTGCGAACCTTCTTGAGGTGATCTTGGCAACGATCATCGTTTGATCGCAACACTGCGACACGTCTTACTTCCTTTCGTTCGGAAAGGGTCGCACGCCATTTTGCATTACATCGTGTCAGCCAAACTTGCTGGAGCACCGCCGCTGTCAATGTCATTTCGGAAAAATTCGACGCCGTGTCCCCTTTCTCCAACGTTACGACTGTTGATGTACTTCGCGCTTTACAGTGTATATTTGCTAAAAATATAAAAGAATGTACGTAAAGTCAACTCCTAACTTTATAGATCATGAAGTGGCCCAGTCAAGTTAGATGGGACTTCCGAAGTATGAGGTTGCACGATCAAACCTCAGAGCCAGCGAGTTCCGCCAGCCCCCCAGAAGGAGGTTTGGCACTGCTCATCTGGGAGTGGATACGCCTTACCTCGATATCTAGCGAGGTGTGTAAACAAGTGGGTGGCGGATTAAGATCGGCCAGGGTTAACTCAAAGGGGGATTTCCCCCCTCCTTTAATGAGACATTAGCTGAATTCTTATTGGTTGCGTAACTTTCTGAACATTTCGTGAAGCCTTTGAACTCGCCACCGACATTCCCCCTTGCTGCTCCTCCTGGGCAAGGGGCTGGGGTTGCAGTAACTTGCTTCTCTCCAGCAGGAATGCTCACTCGGGCTTGAACGTACTACAAGCACAGTGTGCTAAAATTCTCAGTGTACGTACTGAACTATGTTCCACTGATGTCTGTTGACATCCCACTCATGGACCGTCACCACCGTCACACTCCCCAGTGTCTTGGTTTCATCACACGGTATTCTGCGCGCTTGTCATTTGTCAGCAGCGGAAGCACTACAGCTCCAGTTGTTGGAGGGTGTCATCTAGAGGATGTGACGGACATAAAACACGTGCATCGAAATTTCGGCAACAGACCCCTTTATTCACGGCACGCTATGATATTCACAGCTTGATTTACTGAAGAGATATTGGGGACGCTGCGGCGCTATGCGCCGGCGCTTCCGACGCCACTGGCTCACGTCAGCATATCTCGAAGAGGAGCATTTGCTAGAAAGCCGACGTGCGATTGGTATTACTACGTGTAGCAGTTCTAGCAGTAGTAATAGTAGTAGTGCTACCCACGTGAAGATGATGGTGCTGCCTCGGCTTCTGCTACTCGTGATGTCATGCCTCGTGACGGTGCCTTTCCCCCGCACTGCTGCAGTTACCATCCACTCCTCCCAAGGTACCACTACGACGATACAAGTTGCTGTGTTGCGAGTCTGTAGCATTTTCTGTGCTTGATGGGAGGAGTTTTCAGAGCAGTGTGGTACGGTAGCACATCTCTGATCTGCAAATTGTAATTGTCCCAAATCTATTCCATATAGTATCGCGAACACAAAGCTTGAGAAGCAATGTGATCATTAAGTGCCTTGTGGGCATGATTAGGTCACAATTGGGGCCAATTCCTTCCCTTTAAGATTTCAGACTAGCCAGTCGAACCATCTAACGCATAGCTGCCCTCAAGCCACACTCCTGCAGTCTTCTGCGGCTGCTCCAACTGCTGCCCAATTTCGGCGCTCCCACTGAGTAGCTGGCCTGGCTCCTCTCCCCTACTCAATCTTGTTCGTCTTGTTTCTAACCACGTGCCGTCCCAAGGTCTCCAGTTCCCCTGACACCCACATCATTGACCTCATGGCTCTCATGCCCACATCTTCTTGCGCGCGCTCTTGAAATTCCTCCTTATTCACACCCGGCTACTACAGTCACAGCTCTGGTCGATTGCCAGAAGGAGTGGGGCGTGACAATGGAGGGGTGGGCGGAAGGAGGCGAGTGCACGGAGGAGCAGGCGTACATAGACGAGTTTGAAGGCGGCAACCCAATGCCTGACTGGCAAAAGCCCAGAGGCATTCTGTGCGATGGGGACGGCATGGTAACCATAATGTGAGTGACCCGCATGCATGGTGGTGAGTCTGAGTCGTGACTGTACTACTGTGGGTGACCCTCCTGGTGACGGTACTGTATGTGACTGCATGGTAAGCACTGACCCCAATGTGAGTGACCCGCATGGTGACCAGACCAGACTGTGAGTGACCCACATGGTGCTGATGCTTATCTCTCACCGTGCTATAATGGGGAATGACCTGGGCCGCGTGAGCCTGAGGCATGCCCACATGCCACCAGCTCGCTCTGTGTGTTTGACGACGGCTCGATCGAGGGCACGCACTCAGAATGGGCCCGACTTCATCGCATCATGTCATTCGTTTGGTAGTAGTACTAGTAGCACGTCGATATACGGTCGGCGCGAGAACTCAACGCCACGCAATCCATCACCTCGTGTTTGTCCGTCTTTCCCCATCTTCCATGGTCCACCACCCTCTATCTGCCAGGCACATGGCGGGAGAGGGGCTCCGAGGCTCCATACCAGCATCCATTGGTTCCCTCATCCAGCTCTCCTACCTGTGCGGTTTGGCTTCCACACATTTCTCTCATCTCCCTCTCTTGCCTGAGACACTACACTGCACGAGCTAGCTTCACAGTGCTGCTGGATCATCATAAGCCGTTAATGTCGGTATTGCAAATCTAGCTCAGTCTCAACTCAACTGGAGTATTCTATTCACCAAGGCATGGCAGCGAGCGTCACATCAGATGGGAAACCTCACCACCACATGCCGTCCATCACCTGTCCCGTCTCATCCATAACCACCTTGTTGTGTCCATCCCTCTGTACCTACCTACCCGTGCTGTGGCATGCGCAGGGAACTGAATGGAAATTGGCTAAGTGGAACCATTCCCGAGGCTCTTGATCAACTCACCAGACTCTATGTTCTGTTAGTGCCCGCGGTCTCTCATGGTCCGATCCGATTCTGTTGTTTTTTTCTGAGGCTTGGTGCTCATTGTGTGTCTGTTGCACCAGTCTCGCCGTGCTCATTCTGATTGTTACTTACCAACCAACGTCAATTCTGTGTCAGTCATCCAGTGAATCAGTGGTGCCACCAATTAGTACACACCAACATTAGCCCACCTCACTACGCTCGCACGCTGTTGGTTGACTAGGGTGGGATGGGAGGGACGTGTCAAAGCAAGGATTCTCCACTCATTATGCACCTAGCTGCCCTTTCACTCTGTGTGAGAAGTCTAGTTTTGAGACGCCTCAAAACTGTTGGTTGACTGGACTAGGCTGGGATGGGACGTATCAAAGCGAGGGTTTCCTATTCATCATGCACCTAGCTGCCCTTTCACTCTGTCAGGTCACTCGACAGCAATGCACTTACTGGTCTTCCCAATAACCTCGGCAACGGTCTCGTTAGTCTGGGTCTAATGTGAGTATGTCTTACCTTAGCAAAGCTACATACACAGACCTACTTTAGTGCATGTTATCCCTTGTAAATCGATCATGCGTGTCGAAAGACTAGGCAAAAGTTAGAAACAGGAAAGGGGGCTTTTCACTAACAGGCAGTTGAGTACATATAGCAAACCTTAATTCGGGCTGTACTCGCTATAAAGTACCCCATTGCAGGCTAGACAAACATCACATTCTGACACACCCCCATAGTCAAAGAGGGGTATAATCAGCACAGCAAGCAGGCAGAGCAGTAGGTTCACAAATACAAGCAAAGCTAAAGGCAATCATAGAGGGCAACTGAGGAGGAGGAGGAACTGTGAGAGGAGTGGAGATAAGAGGCGTCGGGTGAAGCTGCAGACACACGGGCAACAGGAATGGCGGTGGCTACCGGAGCACTCAACCTCCGGACTACAGGAGTAACTGGCTCCGCGCTAAATAGCAGCAGGAGCAACAGACCCACGGGCGACTGGCAGCAGCAGGCTTGCTGGGCTACCGGAGTACCCAACCCCCGGATTACTGGCGCTGCTGACGTCACAACGGCTACCTCCGGTCAACCTCTCCAATTGTCCCACATCCCTTTTACACACCCCTTGTTGAACCTCTAGCACCGCTCACACGCCACCCCCTTTGTACCACTCCGACGGCTCCAACACATCCACCCCCCTCAGCGGTAGCTGCAGCAGTGGGAGACGGAGGAGGAGGAGGAGCAGGGGACGGCTCACACACCCGGCACCCCCATACTCTCCACCCCCAAACCCTAACACAAGAGCGCGGGCAGCAGCGGGGGTGGGGCGCGGTCAGAAGCTTGGGGGACGGCGTGCGGCACTGGGGCAGACTGTACGGGCCGCGCAAGGGCCTGGCCAGGGCAAATGAACCGCGCGTGGGCTGCCCGGGCCGCGCGTGGGCCTGGCGCAGGCCGTACGGGCCGCGCGCGGGCCTGGCGCAGGCCGTACGGGTCGCGCGTGGGCTATACGGGCCACGCGCGGGCCTAGCGCAGGTCGCGCGGGCCACGTCGGGCAACAGGGGGCGACGCGCGGGTCGACGGGGCAGAAAACCACCGCGTGCCCCGAGCGCGCGGCGGGAAGAAAAAACGCCGCGCGCCCTGAGCGCGCGGTAGGCAGGAAACATCGCGCGCCCGGGGCGTGCGATAGGCAGGACAACAGCGGAAGCATCGGATGGGACCACCCACAAGATCGACCCAGGAGGGTCGACCTGCTCTGATAGCATGTCGAAAGACTAGGCAAAAGTTAGAAACAGGAAAGGGGGCTTTTCACTAACAGGCAGTTGAGTACATATAGCAAACCCTAATTCGGGCTGTACTCGCTATAGAGTACCCCACTGCAGGCTAGACAAACATCACATTCAAACAATGCGCATGGTCCATGGATGGTTGCTAGTCATGTCTGCCTTGCCTACTTCACTCATGTTTTGTGCTTGGCATACTAATGATTATATCGGCTGCTCATCCACATGCGGAGTTGAGTTCGTGTACTGTTTGGTTCAAGCGCATTTGTTTTATTTTTACTAACGTCACACCCTTTTTCGTAATGCCTGACAGACAGCACGCTTTCATGACATGGCACTCCTCATCATTTCTCAGTTCTCCAACCTGAACTCACTCGTGTGCAACGCTCTGCTGTTACTCCATGTGTGGAGTATGGATTTACCTGTTTCACAGGGCTCTGGCCTTCAAGAATCCAGGCCATTCCTTGATACTGCTCATGGCATGGCCTGGCTGGCTTGGCTTGTCAGGAATCTGCGGGACAACTCTCTAAGTGGCAGCATTCCCGGCTCGGTCAGCAACATGGGCCAACTGTCATTTCTGTACGCATACACCCAACACACCCGCGCACCCATGTATGCGTGCACTGCACACATACATCATAATGCACGATCCATTCTCACTCTCTCCAACTCCAACCCTATGCCATGAAACAATTATCAAAGCGCATTTAAAGATGACACACCCATGCATGCACGCACACACACCAAACATACTTCCACTCACTCCCTCCCTTCCAATGCACTTATCCACCTCTGCATAACACACTTCTTCGTTCTACTACCCTTCACCGTTTCATACCCCCCAGTTCCTTCCTTGTGCCATAACCCCCACGCCACATCCGCAACCCTCCCATGGCAGGGACATGGCATACAACAGGCTCTCTGGCCCCGTGGCACAGGTGTTCACTATACCCACTCTGCAGAACATGTGAGTTCTGAGGCGCCTCGATTCAAGATCGTCCAATGTTCCCATCCCACTCTCCAGCACATGAGACCTCCCTGCCTCCCCGCTCTGCTCAAATCCCCGCCTTGCCTCGTCTGCCTTGCCTCCCACTCGCCTGCCCCGCCCTGCCCCTCGCCTCCCCCCCCTTGCATGCGGTATGCAATGCAGGGACCTCTCTCGCAACAACCTGACGGGGCCCTTGCCTGAGTCAACGGCCGGTATGGGCGTTCTCACGTGGTTGTGAGTGCTTCTCGCTTTCCTGAACTTATCCTGCTTCTCTTGTTTCTCCTCTTTTGTGTGGGTAAAAACAAGACTCGAACTAAACGTTGTGCTTTCTCTGGAGTGAGTACCTTGCGTATTGGACCAACGGTAGGCACTAGGAAAGAGGGCCATTCTTATCTGTGCATCGTGTTCCATGGTTTCTCTTGTGAACTGTTGCTTGCTCCCTCCCTCCCTCCCTCCCTCCCTTCTCCCAGACAACTGTCATCGAACCGTCTAACCGGCACAGTTCCGTTAATAGAGTTCCCCAATTTCCTCAAAGCACTGTATGTGTGGCACACAGTGTTGGTAGCAACACTGGGCTCCGGACATTGCATGCAGCAAGTCACCTTGTATCACCCTTGCATTGCATGCATCCCACCTTCGCACCGTTGCTGTTGCATCATCAGTGATACATCTCATCTCACGCCTCTGCATTTCCCATCCATGAATGATCCTTCCCCTAACCCCTGCATTTCAAATACTGCTGGTCTCTGGCTGTGAGGAAATGCCAGCATGCCAGCATGGCTGCCCTTCCAGCCCACATACGTTGATCTTTGCCCGTACACTACCTCGCCTTGTCTCAGGTTGTCTAATTTCTGTCCATTCCATTCCGTTCTCATGACCCACCCATACTCTTGCTCTTGCCCAGTTTTCTCCAATCTCTTGTGCCTCATTCTCTGCGCGCGTGTGTGTCTGTGCTATACAGGGACCTATCCAACAACGAAATCACCGGCAACATGCCTTCTTCGTTTTCAGGCGCCCCAAAGTTTGAATCCATGTGAGCAGCACTCGAACGCTCTCCTTATCTGAGTGTGTGTGGGTGCGTGCATGCGTGCGTGTGTGCGTGTGTGTATCTCGCAAGTTAACGTCATGCTAGGACGCACACACTTCCACCCACACGCACTAGCATTTTCTTCTCGTGTTCAAACACCTCCTCTCAATGTACCCGGCCGGTTGCTGCAGAAACCTCGCAAACAACAAGATCACAGGCACCATCCCTGCCACTTTGAGCGAGCTGGGGGATCTCAGGGAATTGTAAGCAAGCACGTGATTGCAAACACATAGCCTTTACCGCGCTGAGTAGTTTGAATTGACTCATCATCAACCTGTGGCAGCCTCAGGTGGTGCAGGAGGTATAGGATTGGGGGGACATCATTTCTCAGTGAATCCAAAATCTGCTTGAATCTCAGGAGGCTGAAATTCAAACTCCAAACCATGATGACGATTCAGAGCATAATGTTACTACGATTCCTATTATGCTATACAGACGAGAGTGCAGCTGTGTTTTCACTCTCCCTCTTACACTCAGCTCCATGGTCAGTGCCATCCTGCAAACTCTTCTTCTCCAATGTTCCACACGTTCCGAGCCCCGACTGTTGTTCCCGTCCTATGCCCCATCCGCTTGCCCCGTTTCGTGCCCCACTCACTTCAGAATGCTGTCAGGGAACCAGCTCTATGGCTCCATACCAAGAGATCTCTCAACGCTTGCGAACCTTGTCACGCTGTGAGCTCTGAGCGCGTCTGCAGAATATGTCATCATAACATGTCATCGTAACATGTCATCATAACATGGCATCATAACATGTCATCGTAACATGTCATCATAACATGTCATCGTAACAAGGCATCGTAACATGTCATCATAACATGTCATCATAACATGTCATCATAACATGTCATCGTAACATGTCATCATAACAAGGCATCATAACATGGCATCATAACATGTCATCATAACATGTCATCATAACATGTAATCATAACATGTCATCATAACATGTCATCATAACATGGCATCATAACATGGCATCATACCATGTCATCATAACATGTCATCATAACATGTTGTCATCATAACATGTCATCATAACATGTCATCAAAACATGTCATCATAACATGTCATCGTAACATGTCATCATAACATATCATAAGATGAGATGAGAGTCAAAGCAGACATCTCATTCATATCATAGCACACTGTGAGATTCATTCTAGCATGATTCATTAGAGCATATAGCATGATTCATTCTAGCATGATTCAATCTAGCAAAATGAGTTCGCACTTCACTCTTCTCCAGGTCCTGACACATATGCTGCGTGTTCCTAGACTTCACTTGTGTTCTGGTTACAATGTACGCACCACATTCCCTCACTGTTGCACCACCAGCAGAGACATGCTCTTCTCACTGTGCGGACATCCACTGCCTCCCTCCCTCTCTCCCTTCCCACACCCACCTCTCCCCACCCACTCTTCTTGCAGAGACGTCTCACGCAATTACCTCGCAGGGCCCATTCTGGATCCGTCCAATGTTCCAGAGTATGGTTACTATGACTACACCAGCAACTACTTCTCAGGAGACCTGCAAGAATCCGACTGCGCATTGGGTTCCATGCGTCTCGGCGCAAACTGCTTTTCCATAGCAGCAGCAGCAGCGGCGGCGGCGGAGGGCTCGTGCGCGGGTGTGGAGCAGCGGCCTCCAGCGGCATGTGAGGCGTTCTGTGGGATTGCTAACAGCTCCACGCCTGCTTGTGGCGGCCTGGGAGCGTGCTACCCTGAGGGGCCGAACCTTGTTCCTACGTGCCTCTGTCGTGATGGGTTTGTGCAAGATGGAGGGATCTACTGCATCGCTGAGGGTACGTGCATGCAGTGAAAAGGAGAACTATGCATGGCCGCATTCTTTCTGACAGAACTGCTTGCCATGTCGTGACAATCTGCTTCTCCAACGCGCTACTCTTCTTCCTCTCCTTGTGTTGCCGCATCCCCCTTGCTGCTGCAGGCTCGCTCCGAAACGGTGACGTGGTGGAGCCGACTGTTCTCACCAAGGGCACAGTCGCAGAGACAGGCAGTGTATTCACAGCCGACCCTCTCGTGCTCTTCTCGTACGATTCTGTGAAGGAGGGCTGTGGCACCCAGCTGCAGTTCCAATCCAACTTCACCTTCTTCATGTTCCCCACTGCTGCTGCTGCTTCTGCGAGCAACCCCGATCGCCAGGGAGGCAACGGGCTGGCGTTTGTGATTTCTGCGACGAATGCAGCAGGATCTGGCGGGGAGGGGGGAGGGGTGGGGTACGCTGGCATGGACGCTCGGAGCGTGGCGGTGGAGTTTGACACGTTCACAGATGCAGCGCATGGGGACATGCCCGGCCACCACGTGGGGCTCAACACCCGCGGCACCGCCACTTCCATCAAGGCCGTCCGTGCTCCCTTCCCACTCAACGGTCGCAACGCCTACACGGCATGGATTGACTACAAGCCGGGAAGCCCCGGAACTCTGAGGGTGTATCTCGCTCGGGATGATATCAAACCTGGCGTGCCTCTACTGGAGAGCCCTCTATCGCTGTGTGACGTGCTGCAGCCAACTGCTGCTGAACCGTCCTTCTACTTTGGGTTTGTGGCGTCTACCGTGGCCCCTTACCTTCAACAGCACGCCATCCTGGTGTCTCTCATTCGAACAGGTGAGGAAATCTTTTCAGGGAATGTACTTTTCTGGGCGCAACAACACAATTTGCGATGTTTTTGGCTTTCAAATCAAGCAGACACCCGAGGCTTGTCGGTGGGTCATGTCATGCCATGCCATGCCATGCCATGTTGTACCCCAGATTGTGCTGCTTCCTTGCTGTGATTTCTACCTGCTGCACTTACTCACCTGCACAAATTGGGTCGCTTCTTAGACGCCATGCCAGAAAACCCTGGCTCTTAAACAAATCCCTGTTCCACCCAGTCTCTCGTCTTCCACTCTTTGTCCTTTTCTTCCACTCCGTCTGCTGCCACAGGGTTTTCGGTTTCCGCAAAGCCCAGTACAGTATCCATCGTTCCAGGTATGTTGCGCTGTCTTGTACTCCCTTACTCAGCGGAATGCATTGCCCTTTCTCCCTCTTTCTCTCAGCCTCTTAGCTTTCTTCGTCCCACCCAGAATGACAAAAAAAACAAAAGCAAAACAAACTCACTCCTTAACCTGCCCTCTCTTCCTACCCACTACCGTCTGATTCTCCACTGCCTATCTCATCCTTCCTTGCCTGCATCCACCTTTTCCCCCATATGCATCCTTCGCACATGCTCATCTGCTTTATGTGTGCGCGCCCGCCAGCCTATGGACTAACGGTGTCGGCAGCGACGTTCCGCCCGGCTCGGGCGAGTCCGTTCACGCGGTACGTGAGTGCGTCGTACACTCTCACGCAGTCGGGGCAGCAGGACGCCTGGCTCCTCCGCGACCCCTCCTCCTGGGATGTGACGTGGCTTAACTGGCCCGTCAAGGACCAGGACGCCTGCAGTGAGTGCCGTGGGGAAGAGGGTGGGTGGGTGGTGGGAGGGAGGAGTGGAGGGAGAATGAACCGAAGCTTCTGGTTGTGAAAGCAGTGTACTGTGCTCCGTTCCCCTGCGTTCTCCCTCGTACATCTTTCATTGTAGGCCTGAAACCGTTCCACTCTCCTCTCCATCCCTGTCCCATTTGCTTCCCAGATGCGTGCTGGGCGTATGCAGTGGTGGCGAGCATAGAAGCAGCATACGGCATTGCAGAAGCAAAAGCCGCGCCACAACTCTCAGTGGAGTCGCTCTTTGCAGCCATGGGGCTCACCACTCAAGAAGGGAAGTGCAGCGCTGGAGGCTCTCCGACTGATGCCTTTGAGAAGCTGCTTGCTCTGCCCAAAGGGGGAGTCGCTCTTGCTGTCAACGCCACTGCCAGTGGAGCGCCTGCAAGCACACGCAAACGAGCTGTTGTAAGAATGTCCTTTCAATCCTTGTCTTCTCCTTACTTCGCCTTCAGCATTTCAACATGTGAATGTGTGTCCTTACGAAGGCAATTCAGTTGTGGAGATCCATTCGTTCCAGGGTTTTTCTTTCTTTCTTTCTTTCTTTCCCCTCCTATTCTACGTACTTTATATTACCTAAATGGACACCCGTGCAGGTCAAGTACTACCCCATCCAAGGCTTTGAGCGCACGCGGTTCAAGGGGTATGTGGGGCTCATGCTGGCAGTGCAGCGGCAGCCAGTGGTGGTTCACATCGAAGCCTCTACGCCCACATTTGTCGATTATGACGGGGTGAGTGCCAGTCATGTGTGGGTAGTCTGGCGCGTCCAATTCTTCAAACCTGGAACGACTTTCAAGAGTCAGTCATGTGTGTGCGCATAATATGATGGCTGGTGGTTTGCTCTTTTCATTGCTACTTGCTGAGCACTTAATTCACAACTCTTGGTCTTTACATGATGCATTGCTTGTGTTTCTTTCCTTGGCATTTCAAGATTCGCTATCTTGGCTTGGACAATGTCTCTCTCACCTCCTTGCCCTTCTGCCACTCTCCCACCGCCCGTGCCGGCTTTTCGTATACCAGACGATCAAATACCAAGATGCTGGCTGCTACACTGGCAGGCTGAACCACGTTGTCCTCGTTATTGGCTACTCTGTTACAGTTGGTGAAAAGGAGAAACTGCGCATTCCCCCTCCATACTGGATCATTCGCAACTCGTGGGGAGTGGAGTGGGGAGATAAAGGCCACATGCGCATGGACATTCAGGGAGGTGATGGCGTGTGTGGCATCAACGTGCTGCCTGGCATCTACCCCATTGTCAAGAGTGAGGCATCTTCCCCATTGTCAATAACTAAGTCCCTAAGCAAATAGAATGGCAAATGGAGGAGTCAAGGTGATTCGGAAAGCAAGAAAGTATGTTAATATCGACCCGTGTAAGTCAATCAAGAGGTCCCGTTATTATGGACCCGTATAAGTCAGTCACGAGGTCACTCATACGGGTCAAGGCAAGCAGAGGCATGGGAGGGCAAGGGGGGCAAGAGAGGGAGCTGCACTTTCAGTGACTTGCCACTCTAAGAGGAATCGCTTCTGTTTGTAGTTGTGGGGTGGCTTCGGAGTGGTTGGTGTCCCTACACTTTAGCCTTTCTCAGTGTGCAACCTCTTAGTCCCCGTCCCTAACCCTCTCACCTTCCCTCCAATTATCCTCCTCCCCTTCCCCTCGCTCTTCTCGTCCTGAACCTCCACTGAGGCAGTCCCGGGCGACCCCTGTCTTCTCCAGGGCTTTAAATTTGACCGGGAGGACTGGCCGGCCATGAACCCGTGCGGGCGCTTTGACTGCCGCGCCAACGCGCGCCGCACCTTGTACACATGCAACTGCAACCTGCCCCGCCCCGGGCCCCAGCCGTTTGTGGAGGTCACCAACATGGACGCCTCACGCACCTGCGCCTACGGTGGGTTGGGGTCTCTTGTTGAGCTTGGGAGCTGGGCTCGCCGCGCACTTTGCACACGTGCAACTGCAACTTGGAGCGCCCCGGCCGACAGCCCTTTGTGAATGTTGCCATTGCGGACGCCTCACGCACCTGTGCCTCTGGTGGGGTGTGGGGGTGGGAGAGTGGTGATCTCCTGTGTGTGTTAGGTGGTGGTTGGCTGTACTGTGCTGTGTGGTGGGGTGCTGTGCTGTGATGTGCTGTGCTGTGATGTGCTGTGATGTGATGTGCTGTGATGTGCTGTGCTGTGCTGTGCTATGCTGTGCTGTGCTATGCTGTGCTGTGCTGTGCTGTGCTGTGCTATGCTGTGCTGTGCTGTGCTGTGCTGTGCTGTGCTGTGCTGTGCTGTGCTGTGCTATGCTGTGACCACTGAGGTGCAGACAAGGGGCATGGAGAGTGGGTATGGATGTGCGTGGATGTGGGCGTGGCTATGAGCTTGAGCATAAGCATGAGCACAGGCAGAGGCATGGGCTGGCTGGGACACAGGGATGGCCTTTCTCCTGCCTATCCCGTTGCCTTTCCCCTTCCCTTTCCCCGTGCCTTTTTTCTTTCTTTTCCCCATTGCCTTTCCCCTTGCCTTTTCTCTTGCCTTTCTACTTGCTTCCCCTTACCTTTCCTTGTGCGTTTCCCATTGCCCTTCCCCTCCTTTCCTTTTTGCGCTTCCGCCTGCCTTACCCCTTGCCTTTTCTCTTGCCTTTCCACTTGCTTTTCTTCTTGCCCATTCTTTGCCTTTCCCTACGCGTTTTCATTTGCCTTTCCCAATTCTTTTTCATTTAACTCTCCCCTCACCTTTCCCCTCACCTCCCCCCTCACCGTTCCCCTCACCTTTCCCCCTCACCTTCCCCCTTGCCTTTCCTCATGCTGCTCATGTGTCTGACCTTACTCTTGGAGAAAACTTCTAGGAATACTATCAACCCTGCCTGCCCCCACACTCTCTCCTGTTGCATGCTCCTGTGCAACACCTCCAGTGGACGTGTGTGGGTCCCACACCAGCAACCCCTGTGCCGTGGGCACATGCATCAACGATGGCAAGGGCGCCTACTCCTGCATCTGCCCTCCCAACTACGCCCCCACCACCACCATTGACAACTTCCCCACCTGCGGCCCTGGTACCTCTCTCCATCCCCATGTCTTCCCTTCCTTCCTATTTCATCCTCATCTTCCCTGGTATTTACCTAACCTGTGCCACACCACTTATTCCATTCTATCCCTCCCTTGCACTCCACCACTATTATCTCCCTCCTGCCATTCTCTTCCCATCTCGAACTCCCTCTCACCTTCTCCCCTCCCCTCCCTGCCTTCCACTTGCGTCTCTTTCTCCCTCGCAGCCGACGTGACAGCAACAACAGTGGCAGTGGGAGCAGACAACTGGCAGTGTGCGGACGTGCATCCAGTCATGGGGCTCACCCTTTCCATCTTCACCACACTCAACAAGGTTAGTCTCGAGGTGCATTAAAGCTCATCTCACTCCATGCAGTGTGAGTGTGCGGGCAAATCCCGGTTTCTCCATGTGCATCCAGTCATGGGGCTCACCCTTTCCATCTTCACCACACTCAACAAGGTCAGAGAGGTTCTACTGGAGGCTCAAGTGGAGGTTCAACTGGAATGGCGCCTACTGGGTCTGTTTTATCATTAAGGGTCAGTTGTTTATGAGTTGGGAGCAGTCAAATGTGCCGGCGCGGGCATGAAATGCTGGTTGTGAGCATTTGACATGTCCATGAGGAGATTTGAGGTGACTTTTGAGTCAACTCAAAAGTCACCTTGCTGGTTGTGAGCATTTGCCAAGCCATGAGGAGATTTGAGACAGCCTGAAAAGCGTTTTCCACACCCTGCCACCCATGTTAGGTGTCTTTTCACCATTCCCACCCTTCAAGCTTCTTATTGTCCCCTCCTTTTGCTATTGCTTGGCCTGCTTTGTTTCTGAACACTGCAGGGCATTGACTGCAGCAAGCCGCTGAAGAGAGGCACAACACTGAATATCAAGCCCCCTTCCCCCATTGTTGCCTGCACCACCTTTTTCTTCACTGTGAACGTGAGTCTCTTTGGTGGTCTCTTTGGTTTTTGTTGCACGAACCTGTCGCAAAGTTAAAGCCGTCGGCCCAAGCTGTTCATGTTCAGAAACCTTTATGGGGAGGGGGTTCATTTGTCTAGGTTGTGGTGAGAGTTTCGATTTCGTCAAATTCGTGTTTTTCGCCAAACCCAGCCACGTCAATAGTTCCAAATTACAGGTGAAGTTCTTTCAAGTTTGTACATTCCTCGATATCAACTTTTTTAACCCGCACGCTCCACAATTTGGGCCGCGGGCTTTAAGGGTTTTAAGGGTGTCCTTGAACGTGCCTGGGCTATGCATGACAAAGAGGGAAATTGTTTGTCTGGTTTATTTTCCGCACTGGGAGAGCAAGCTGAGTGCATTGGCCCGGATGAACACCAAGCAACAGCATGCACCGGTGTGCCTCTGTTCTGAACACAGTATGAGAATTCTCCAATTAACAGTTTTGAGAATCTTTCAAATAAGCTGCGTTTGAAAAATTGCACGTACAGCGAGAAACGCAATGCATCTATCTGCCTCTATCGTTGCACACCCAAGCTGACGATCCCACCCATCCACCTCCTCCACACACACACCATCCCCACAGGGAGATACATGTGACTCCATAATCAATCGCGTGCAAATGGCAACCGACGGCACCTTTGCAGCCCTCAACCCCGGGGTTGACTGCTCCAAGAGCCTCTCTCCTGGCCGCTCTCTGTGCCTGGAGCGCAATCCAGAGCTCGTGAGCACGTCGCCTGTGTGCTTGCAATACGCGATGCTGACAGCGCAGGAAACGTGCGAGCGGCTGCTGAAAGGGTCTGTTGCCATAGTGAATGCGGCTGCGTGGGCCGCTCTCTACCGCAACAACCCCGGCCTCGTCTGCTCCAACACCATCCCTGGCTCTGCTTCGGCTGCTGGGAGCAACACTGGTGTGCAGGTGAGAGGGCAGGCGGAGGGCGGGTGAGCGCAACGCTCCTGTTTGTTATGTTTTTTGGTCATGCGTTGCTCCTCACGTGCTCTTTCAATTGGTGTGTTTTTTTATCACGGTTCACAACCCAGGTGTGCCTGCGAGCGGAGTATTGGAATTTTCAGATTGGTGCGTGTGTGAAGGGAAAGCAAGAATCCATCAGCCCAAAAGCAACGTGCTCATCTGTCCTGCTAAAGTACTACAATAATAATGCATTGCTGTACAAACAGTACAATGGCAACCAAGCATGTGCTGGAACTGTGGGAGGCAGCTCCACCCGGCGCACAAAAGTGTGCGTGCCTCGTTAGTCCTGGCGGTACGCCTTGGCTTCCATACTCGGCCATAAATCCGTAAACACTTTCCCGTAAAAGAGGCATGGGTTGCAGTACTATTTTACTGTATGTGCTAATGTGATGCAACTTTTAAAAACCCCATTGTATGCTTTGTTGGATACGATATGGTTTCCTGCCCCTGTTTTTAGACGGTTTTTCGATTTTCATTTCTAGCTTGATAAGCAGCAACAACAGTGACGGTTTTTCATCTCTCTCCTATCGCACTTACCGAAATCCCCAATACTGTACCGCCTGTCTTGTAAGTTGTAAGGAATTTTCTCGGCATTCCTTACGGAGCCCGACTACATCGCGTACAGCAACAGCCGTTGTTCGCCCGTTACTGCTAACGGGGCTTCGCCGACTTCGCGCGCACTGTTTCACCAAACCTCGCACTGCTGGCCTGACCGTGTCGGCCTACGCTTCACGACTAGCCCGAGCCTCGTTTCCAGCGCAGCACTAGCTAGCTCGCACGCACCGCGTTACCGTTTGCATGTTTCGCGTATAAATGTTCGCTCATGCCTTCGCTCACATTTTGTACTCGTTTGACACCTTAGTGCAATTCTCGCTACTTCGATTCATTGCACCCGTAACACTTGGTATCAGAGCCTCTTTCCTTTTCGGACCGCGCATCTCAGCACCCCAGGAAATCAACTTTTGATTTTTCGCTCGAAGGGACTCACGTACCTTAGCACCTAGGAGCCGTTGTCCTCGCGTTCTCTCGTAAATGCGTGCAGCCACGACTGCGCCTAGACTAAGACGAGCCGACACCCTTCGAAATGACTGAACATATCGACGTCACGACTCTCACACAGGAGCACTTGAACGATCTGCTGCGACAAATCCGCGAGAGCGCCGAGGAAATCGCTGCGGAGATTCACTCTACAGCGGTAGTGAGCTAGACTACAGGGTTGGCACGAACTACTAGAGGTGATCGTAGCTTTGCTTGGTTCCTTAGTGCTTGCACATTCACGGGAGAAATTGGCAAGAGTTTCCACTAGCAAAGTTGAAAATACAGAATAATCCAAGAAGTAATAACAACAATGACTACATCAGGTACCTAGCAACCCTGCAGCTAGCCTGGTCGACCGCCAGCGCAGCTCGGTCGACCGCCTGCCAGCATTGCGTAGAGGAGACGCGCCAGCACTGCAGAAGGGCGGCCTGCCAACAAAGCAGGTCGACGGCGGGCCCCGTAGAATACAGCAGTGCACGCGCTCACAGGTGTGCGCAGACGATTGGCCCGACTTGCCTCGTTGGGCATCCGTCGGCTGTTGTCTGCGCCTGACGAGCCACATCGACTTCAGGATACCAGCCCGAAGTCGCCTGCGCCATCGCGATCTCGACGACGTTCGCGTGCCTCCGCAGAACTCGTCAAGCAGGTTACCCCGTCGACCTGGTCGACCCTTGGTGTTCTAGTCGACCCCTGGGTCCCTCTGGTCGACCACCAGGCGCTCCTGGTCGACCACAACTCCCGTCGAGCTACCCCCTGGTCGACGGACCCCTTCCGTCGACCAGAACTGCTCCGTCGACCTCCCGGTCGAACTGCAGGTCGACGGACTGCTTCGTCGACCTCCCGGACGGCCCACCCGTCGCACAGACCAGTCAGTTGCAGCTGTCGAGCTCCTTGGTCGACAGCAACACCACAGCGGTCCGCTGCAGCTTGACGTAACCTGTCGAGCAGCTATCCCACTATGAACGGTCGGCTGCTACTACCGTGCATCCGACCAAGTCGTCGGCGCCCAAGCGAGGGCGGGGCCAACACTCCATTCTTGTTAACACTCCCCTGCCGCGCTCACGCTTGGGCCTCCAGCCCACACGGCAGTACTCCACGGAGAAAACTCGTCCTCCGCGTGCACCCCACACATAGCACGCCGTCACCGCACCAGCCGTGCAGAAGGGCACGGCACCTACTGCTGCACTTTGTCGTCGCCGTCGCCGACGTCGACCAGACGAACTTGGCCGATGGCGACAGAGCACCGGTTGAAAGCCGGAAAATGCAGCGCCTTCGTCAGGAAGTCCGTCGGCTGCTCGGTGGTCGGGATGTAGTTCAGCACAAATTTCCCGCGCCTCACCATGTGCTGCAGCCAGGCGTAGCGTCGCTCCATGTGCTTGAGGTTGCCCGTAAGCCCCAAGCCCTCAGCAACCGTGATTGCCGACTTGTTGTCGACGCGGAGGATGGTCGGCTTCCCAGCGTCGAGCAGCTTGAATTCCACAAGGAGGAAGCGAAGTCGACGCCCCTCCTTACCGGCGTCTGTGGCCGCCACGTACTCCGACTCGGTTGATGACAATGTCGCGCACTGGATGCGCGAGCTCGACCGGGAGACAGCGGCCCCTCCGTAGACGAACACGTAGCCTCCCGTGCTCATCCGGTTCGGCTTGTTGCCCGCGTCATCGGCATCGACGTAGCCGATCAGCTCCAACGATTCTGGTCCACCGCCAAACTCCAAGGCAGTGTCGTGGGTGTTGGCGAGGTAGGCGAGGCAGCGGTCGACCTCGCGCCAATGCTGGTCGCTCCTCACCGTGAGGCCGCTCCCCAGCTTGCTGCAAGCGAACGCGATGTCCGGCCTGGTTGTCGTCGCCGCGAACTGCAGCGAGCCGACCTTCTGCCGGTACTCCTCCTCCTCGCGCTCTTGAGCCTCCTCGTCGTCGAACGTTAGCTGAGCGTAGGCGTCAACCGAGACCGGTGTCTTCGGGACTCGACCGCCCTGCTCCTCGTCGATGAAGCGCCTGCGCAGCTTGTCGGCGTAGCCTTGCTGGTGCAGCCACAGCTTCCTGGCCGGCCTGTCGCGCAAGATCTCCAGCCCAAGGTACTTCACCACCGGTGAGATCTCACGTAGCTTGAAGGCAGCCTCCAGCAGCTCCTTCAGCTCCTTGAGCATCGCGGTGCTGCTGCTGGCGGCGAGCAGGTCGTCGACGTAGACCAGCACCCAGCAAGTCACTCCGTCGTCGCGGGCCTTGAAGTAGAGCGCCTCGTCGACCTGGCTCTTCTTCCAGCCAGCACCCAGCAGCACACTGTTGAGAGCCATGTACCACAGTAGCGGCGACTGCTTTAGCCCGTAGAGGCTCTTCAGCAGCTTACACACCCGGCCGGTCCCGTCGTCGAAATAGTCCGGCTGGTACATGTAGAGCACCCTGTCGAGCTTGCTCTGCAGGAAAGCGTTCTTCATGTCGAGCTGCATCAGGTTGAGGTCCAGAACGGCGACGATGCTGAGGAAGATTCGCAGCGTGACGTAGCTGCTCACCGGCGAGTACGTCTCGTCGTAGTCGGTACCGTACACCTGCGTGAAGCCCTTCACGACCAGCCTCGCCTTCTCGCGCTCGACGGTATCGTCGATGCGGTACTTGGTCGTCAGCACCCACCGGTTCTTCATGATGTTCACCCCGCGTGGGCGTTCGACCAGCTCCCAAGTCCCCATGCCGATGAGACTGCGGATCTCTTCTTCCATGGCGGCCTTCACCGCCTCGCCCTTCCAGCTCAACAGCGCCTCTTTCACCGTCATCGTGGCAATGTCCCAGCGGTGTTCGGGGTTGGCGTGCACGTCAGGGTCGAGCTCCGGCAGGTCTTCATCCTCCTCGGCGTCGTCATACAACAGGTCGTCGTCGACCTCGTCGAACACCGTGGTGAAGGCGGCTGGTGGTAGGCAGGCGTGGAAGCTCAGCCGCTTCGGTGGCCGTCGAGCTTGACCTGTGCGTCGCAGTAGCTCAGGCTTCCTGATCGGCACTTCCACCACGTCGCTGTCGGTGGACTCCTCACCCGCCGACTGCTCCCCTTCTTCATCGACATCCTCGTCGTCGACTAGCTGCTTCGACCCGTCGACCAGCTGCTTCGACCCGTCGACCGGCTGCTCGCCCGCTGTTGACTTCGACAGCTCCCCTGTCGACCGCCCTGGCTGCTGCTCCCCTGTCGGCTGCACCGCTGCTATAACCTCCTGTCCGACCGGCTCCCCTGGCTGCTCCCCTGGCGTCGACGTCTTCCCATCCTGGTCGACAAGCTTGGCGCCTTGTCGACCGCCAGCGATGCCATGGGCCGGCGCCACAGGCAACGCCTCAAGGCTCCCCTCATCGTCGGTGGTCGACACAGGTGCCGACCCAGCTGATCTGCGACGGGGAACGGAGGAGCAAAGACAGGGGGAGGGGAAAGAACCTCCACAACATCCTCATCACCGGGTTCATCGACTTCGGCGAGCAACGGAACCGTTGCCGTCGAGGTGGCCGTCGGCGGGTGCGCCTGCGACCTCGTAGAAGATCACCTCGACCGAGGTGACCACCTTGTTGTCGGTCAGGTCGAGCACCTCCCAGCCCTTGCTCTCCGGCAACACACCCAGGTGAAGCCCCCAACGAGCCTTCGGCGCCAGCTTCCCACCGCGCTGCTGCTCGGGAACCATGAACTGCACCATGCAGCCCCACACCCGCGCTAGCGTAAGGTCGGGCCTCTGCCCGGTCAGCAGCTGGTACGGAGTCGTTCCCGGCGGCGTCGTCGACCGCTCCAAGCAGTTGCGCACCCAGACCGCTTGTCGTAGAGCAAGGTGCCACCAGTGATGCTGCACGCCCATGTGCAGCAGCATCGACCGCACGGACTCGACGACCGTGCGCATCTCCCGCTCAGCCATGCCATTCTGCTGCGGAGTGTAGGGGCACGTCAGGTCGTGGACGATGCCCTTCCCGTCG